AAAAAAAAAAAAAAAAAAAAAATTAGCTATGTCGATGGATTTCTATCACTTGCACATCTACAAACTTGCATGCTACCATACTATTGCGGCCATGTTTTAAGGTGATTTAGTAGCAATTGAGTCCATTAACATGTTCCACTTTCCTAGAGATCCAATTAAACCAAAATTTTTGACAACAAACGCTACGACTTCACACAATTTACAATGTTAACGTAGTGTCTTTTATTCATTTAAGGAGGAGGGGGGGGTCTCATATGAAACCACAGACAGAATTATTGATATAAAAGCAGCATCGAACGTAGTGTTAAGTTCAGAAAGCTGCAAAGTTGAAGTGACTAGCCCATAAAATTATTTTAATGAAACGTAAGAATGCAAGTTCTGTTGTTACAGTAGATCAGGTTATCTAACATCCCTCTGGGAAAATTGAATTGACGGTGACTAAGAAAAAGTGCCTATAACTGCGGTAAATTTGAAAATGCACAATGAAGACTTTGCAAATTATGCGTTGAGGAGTGGATTTCTGGCATTTTTGATGTTCTGAACGTCACTGACACGCGATTTTACCTCATAGAGTTCTACTCAATTGGGTGTACCTCTGGTGTGCAAAAGACCCATTTTATGGCTTACCCATTCAAGTTGGCAAATTTTTCCATGATGCTTTGGTTTATGGGTGACTTAGGCCGAGGAGGCAAAAACGCAACTTAAAAAAAGGTTGTCAGTGACATTGAAAGAGAAGTTAAAGTAGACCTTCAGAGATCAATATCATGTACATCACAACGCTCTAACACTCGAACCAACCTGTACACTTGGTCCCTTCTTTTAGCTCCATCTATAAAGGCTTAGGTGATTAATATTAAGTCTTAGGCAAGAATCCTCAAAAAAATACCTGAACATTGATCCTATTCCTTTGAGAAGACCTGCTTTCTTTTTACCAGAGTTCTGTTTCATCCTGTTGAATTCCAGTGAAGCATGTGATTCTCTCTCATCTTCTGCAACTGTCAAAAGGAATACATTTAAGATAAAATCTTTCAGTGACAGAAATTCAACAGCTCATTTAATATTCTGAATTTTCAATATAATTAAACATTAAGACAATGAAAGTGATTTTTCAACTATACTGATGATTACTTAAAATTCTTTCCTACTTTTTCACTAACTTACAGGGGAGAAAATGTAAGAGAAGATATTATTTGGTTCTACTTCCTACTAATTTTGCAGATATTTACAGTTTCCTTCACCGAAGTCACTTCATCTCTAGGGACTAAAAATGTACTTTTTAGTTATATGCTGAGAATTCAATTTTTGTGGTCTAGAAATCCTCTTATTTTGAGGAGTAGCTGACTTTTGAAAATCAAATCTGCACTATCAAATTGATACACCGCCACAAAAATATCCGAGAACCACTTTCCTGACCGTCTCAAATTCAGGTAAAAATCGCAGCAACTTTTGAAATAAAAATAATACACACAAGGAAACAGGATTCTGACTACAGCGACAGTGGCATACACTCTGGTGCAGTGGAGGTAATTTCTAGTTCCACTAGGAGCCTGGAGATAGGGCATAGTAAAAATCGAAAACTTCAAAAAAAGAAACTGATTGTAAATGTTCATCCTGAGGGGGCGGGAAGCAGTAACGATATTAATTAAAAACCCAAAAATTTGGTTCATAATTATTACACCTATCTTAGATTTTTTCATTATATTTGTATAGACTGCGAAGTCCGAATTTGAAGAATGTAGCAAGAGAGTTACTTACGAATATCCATTTGAAGTTCATGGGGAAGCGAAAAAGGCGTGTCATAGCTACGATCAACAGCTGCACGAAAACTTTCATTGCAGCCACGACCTCGAATTACCCGCACTGAGCCTTGACCAGTTCGATGATAAACCTCACCATCTTCAGCCATTTGAATCTGGAATTGAACATGAATGATAAATGAAACTTCCTATACACAGGAATTAAAAGCATACTTCAAGAAGAGTTGCAAGGCTGAGAAAAAATGATCATTAATGGGCATCATATTCGCTGATGGCACTTACAGAATAAAGCAAGAATTACATAACTGACAAGTCTTATGGTCAGTTGTAAAATAACTGAAACATCAAACATTGAAATTTGCAGATACTTACTCCATGAACCATGGTTTGCAGGGATTCCAAACTAGATGATTTTTTCATACCAAGGGAAGGACCCAACTGTTTCTTTGGCACTGATTCTACATTATCTATAACAAAAATATGATAACAATAAGCTCAGAAGTCTTAGGTTGATGTTTGCCCTGGAGACATGGACTGCCACCGGATAGGCAAACTTTGCAATGGTAGACTATAAATACTTTCTGCCTGAAGTCCTGGATTACAGAGCGATAATGATGAACTCACAGCAAATGAAAGGAGGAAAATACTAATGCTTACAAAAAAGAAGAAACCTCCTTTCAGCAAAATGTTACTTCACTAAGCAGAAACAAATTTTGGAGCATTGTAATCAAGATAAGTGTTTTTGTAATCTTACCGCTGATACACAGCTAGTAGAACTGACAAGTAATAAATTAATGATGCATACTTTAAATTATTCTTTTTCATGCCGTTTCTTGACGCAGCTTCATATCCTTACTACGCTGAACTTATTTGAATGCCTTGATACAAGAACGACTCAACATGGAAGTTAAAAATTCAACTTCGGAATCTCAAATCACAAAACAGCAAGGTTCGCCTGTTCCTTTTTTTTGGTATCAAATGAACATCCTCCAAAACTCCAAAAGGCTTTTCATTCAAAGAACAATGTTTGTTACAACCAAGTGTTTTTAGTTTCCAAGAAAGTTTTAGCAGTTTTCCAAACAAGTCATTCAATAGTCATGTTCGGAACTTCCTAAAAAAGTTTGCAATTTCGTTATTATGTGATTTTTTTTTTTTCAGCACTTTTTGTAATTTACTGTTACAAATAGCCCGAGCATCACTTTCAAGGGAGAAAATGAATTTTTGTACGCTCCTTTCAATTCGACAAAAACTCAGACTGATTGTGAGTCAAATGGCTGGCTGATTCATTGCTTCAGTGTTAAGACACAGGTATGTTGAAATGACTCAGTATAAACTCTAAAACCAAATACTAAGCCATTCACTTAACTCTACCTATCAATTATAAGTTTTTTTGGCATTTGATGTACTAGACAAAAAATTTATGGCTGAAGCTTTAGACATTGGTTTACAGGGACTTAGGGGGGACAGAAACTTTCAGAGCTATGAATAATACACAAAACGAATCATAACTCTTTTAATTCCTTCAGCAGGCCTTCCAAATGGATTATCATATGTCCATTCAATATCGCTGTGCATGCAAGAGTAGCATTTCCTTTGTTAAACATTGGATGCAATCTTCAAATAATCGTTTTTGGTAATTTTCGGAAGGAAAAGTTTGATTATTTTTTCCATGCATGATAAAGACTAAAAAGTTAAGGAGAGATGGAACTTAAAAGAAATTGAAAAACCTTCGGGCCATCACGCTGTTCAGGACGATTCCAAAACGTAAAAAAGCACAACAATAGACTCCTTATTATAAAA